ATTAATTAAAATGTTTTTAATAGTTTTGATATCAAGTTTATTTGTTATTTTTGTATTTTCTATATTTAAATTAGAATATAGGCCTATTAAAAGTTTACTTTTATTAGAAAGTGAATTGGTTACAGTTAAACTTACAATTAATAGTAATATTAGCATGTATAAGATTGCAAGTGTATAGTTCGAATATAATATTCAATAAAAACTATAGTATTGAATATCCATTCATCTAAAAAAAAAAAAAAGTTTGCTTTTATTAAGCCTACAACCCCCCTGACATGACAAACTCCATAATACAAAAAATACTTTAACTTGAGACTATTCCAATCTAATGCTTGCTTAAAAGAAGAGGACCCAATGAAAAGTAAAATCTGAAGCCACAGGTAATAACAAAGAGTACAGTACCTTCTCTAAGGAATCAGGCGAAAAGTATTGAATAGATTATTTGGGTATTTTAATCAACCTTAAAAGATACACACTCCAAATAACTATTGCCAGGATCTAGATTAGATTAGATAGTTTAAAACTAGTTATAGAATTTCTATCTCCTAAAGATTCTATCTGGTGTATGAATCCACTTTCTGGATGAATAAATTAGTATAACTGGATAAGGCTATAGGTAGAAGTGCAAGTTAACTTAAATAAACCTTGTAGTTATGTAATTGGATATAAATAACTCAATAAAAGTCATATGTTGCTAGTACTCTTTACTTGAAAAAAAAAGTTTGCTTTTATTTTCTTCTAGATAATAGTGATATTCTTTTGTATAGCTTGAGATATAGATTAATCAATTATCAAGTTTAAAATATTGTAATTGATAGAAAAAACATTTTCAGATAATATTTATTAGTTATAGTATTTTTACTTTATTAAGAATTGTTTTTTGAATAGCAGGATTCTTGAGTCTTAATATAAATAGTTTTATTAGTATAGTATTTTGTTTATCTTAAATACTTGTTATATTAAGACCTAGTAGTAAAAGAATAGGTATATTTAGAGTTGTTCTTTTAAGTTTATTTTTACTTTTGTATATTTTGTTTAGATGTTTTTAAAGCTCAAGATTTTGATCTTATTTAGAAATAAAATATATAGGATATATTCGGTTTTAAAAGGAATAATTTAATATACAGTATAACTTATTTGATAATAAAAATATTTCAATTTTTATTTTTTAATATTACTTTTATACTATTTATATTTATGAAGTTTGTAAAGATATTGATATTTTTTTGAAGATTAATAAGGTTACTATCAAGTAGGATTAGATTATTTATATAGATGAGTATATTATATTTAAATTTTAATATTAGTTATAAAAAAAAAAGTTTTAAAATAAAAAAATCATAGAATGTTATTTATCACAAAAGAGTTAGAGTTTCTCCTTGTTCAATTTTTATTGTTAATAGTATATTTTTCTATTAAAAAGTAGTTAAGTTTAATTTCAATTAGAAAAAGATTAATTTAAATTTTTTTGAAAATTTGATTCTGTCTATTGCTTTTTAAGGTTTATTAGAAGAATAAATTTAAATGTTTTAATAATATCAAAGGATATTACTATAGGTGGTTGCTTATATTTTGGCTATATTAATTATAAAGAATATAAATATATATTATTTGAAGATATTTTAATTCAAAAAACTATAAAATTAGTTTTAAAGAAGACATTTTCTTTTTTGGATATTCTAATATATTTAATGTAGATTATTTTTGTAAAGATTTTGTAGCTATAGTTAAAAAGTATTATTGGTCTTATGTTTGTAATATTGTAAGTTCAGATAAGTTTTTTGAAAAAAAAACAAATATTGACTTTTTTTAGGATTTAAAATTTGTTTTGTTTTATAAATTTTATTGAATATTTGTAGAATAATAGGTTTAGTCTTATTGTTTAGGAATTTCAAGCTTTGTAAAAAAATTTTTGAAAGGTCAAGTGTTTTATTGTTTGAAAGAATATTTAGGATATTGATTATTTTAACAAAAAAAAAATCTTTTGAAAGTTTATTATAGATAGTAAAATCAATCTTTAAATTTTTATATATTTTTTTTCATTCTTTTATAAAAAAAAATTAACATTTTTTAAGTAAGTTTTTGAAATAGTCTGTTATTATATATTTGATTTTTTCTATATTATTAGTAATGATATTATATTTGTCTTTAAGAAGTAAAAAATCTAATTATAATTTAATATTGTTGAGAGTTACTTTGATAATTTGTTTTAATTTGCTTTAAAATCTTTATAAGTTTTTTTTAAATTAAATAATAAAAGAAGTTCTACTCTTTTATTTTGTTGATTAATTCTTGTTTAAGATTTTTGATTGTTAAATAAATATTCTTTGAAAAAATATTATTGGTATTATTAATATTGAAATATGATTTTTAGGCTTGTTTATTTTGGACAATATTTATAAGTTGAACTTTTAAAAGAGATTTTATTTGGAATCTAAGAGTTTTGGTACCTGGAATTGGATTTCTTTTTATTGTTTTGGATTTGATTTTTGGAATATTATTATATAATAAGTTTTTAATTATATTTGAAACTATTTGTCAAATGGAATTAGAGATGAAAATAAAGATATTTTTACTTTTTTTATAAAGTTTTTAATTTTAATATTATCTTGATTATATAATTTGTAATATTTTTGATATATTATAAAATTAATAAATTAATTCAATATTTCAAGTATTTTTTAATTATATATAGTATAATCATCTATAAAAAAATTTAATTTGATATTATTAATTTTGATTAATATTAACTTTATAAATTTTAATAATACTTCTATTATAATATTTAACAAATTAAATCTTATTTTTTAAAATTTATAATTTATGAAAAAATTTATATAAATCAGTTATTTGTAAATTTTTTAAAATATAATAAAACTTTATAATTAAAAGTTGAATAATTTTTAACAAGTTATTATTAAATTTATTATTATTAATTTCAAATTCAGATTTATTATTTCAATATTAATAATATTTGATATTGAATTTAATATAATATTTTTTGCTTTATATTGAAAGATAAATTTTTAATTTGATAAATTATTGTTTTTGTTTTTTAATATTTATATAAAAATTTTATTTATAAATCAATAAACAATCTATTGTATTTAATGCAATTGCAAATAATATTTATTTTATTGGATTTTTTTTTTAAAAACTTTTATTAAGTAAAATTAAGATTGAATATTTTTTTATTATTTTTAATTAACAAATAATAATATAAATTAATAAAAATTATTATTTAACAATATATATATTATATAATTTTAAACTGTCAAATTTTGATAAATTTTAATACAATATATATAATATTGCAAATTTTTATTTAATAAAACTAAATAATAATAAATTTAAATATAAAATATAAAATATTAAATAATAAATTTTAATATAATATAAAATAATAAGATAATAAAAAATCTTTTTTTAAAAATTACAAAACTCTTTAAAAATTCTTTTTTTAAAAATTTTTCAAAAATATAGAAAAATATTCAAGAAAATATTTTATATAAAAAAATTATATTATTTTTTTTAAGAATATAAAAAAACAATACAAACAAATATATATTAAATTTAAAGAATACCAATTTTTTTTTATTTAAATAAATAATAAATACTTGTAATTTCTTATTAAGAAAAAACAAAAAACAAAAAAAAACCATTTATAATAAAATTATAAAAAAAGTCAATATTATATTTTATAAGCTATCAGCCAATTATATAGTATATTAAATTAGATATCTCTTAAACATTAGAAAAACTTTGTATTAGTCAAATTATATTCAGTAAACTAGATAATTTCATATATTAACATAAAATTAGAAGAATATCAAGATTTTTTTTTTTACTATAGTTAAAAGAAAGTACAAATCTTAACAAATTTATAAAATAAATAATATCTATTATATAATTTGACTTATATTGAAGCTAAAAACTATAAATAGTTTATTTTTATCAAAAGATTAACAAATAATATAAACATGTATTTCTTTATATTAAAACAATCAAATAAATATATTAAGCTTTAAAAACTTAAATTAAAGTTTAAAATATTATATTTTAAATATAAAACAATAAAAAAATTCAATTATAATATTATATATATTAAAATATCAATATTATAATAAACCAAATAAAGAAGATATGAGCTAACTCAAATGGTAATAAGTATAAGATAAATATATATATTTAAATTAATAACAAATAAACAACAGGCTAAATAAACAAAAAGCAAACTATATATAACAATATATTAACAAACAAATAGATATCTCAAATAGAAAATTACATATATTTAAACATTAAAATAACTATAGCAAAATATCAAATAAAAAACATGTGTCAACCCAACAACAATAACAAGTTCAAGACAACAAAACAAGCAAACATGTGTCAATATACCATTAGATCACATAACAACATGTTTATATACCAATATATCACAAAGCAAAACATTTCAATATCAAAATACATAACTGATCAACCAATGAATTTTCATCAATTTATATAAAACACTCAATCAGAATTATTCTCTTATTAATCAATAGAGAATCAAATAATTGATTATTTAGAACACTGGAGGACAACTATGTACCCCATGACCAGAGATGGATTAAAACATTTATTAAAGACAGTTACAACAACTTCTTTTCAGAAAGCTTTGAAATGAAAACAATAATTAACACTACTGTCCTTGATACAGTGACAGCAAAGCTACTAAACATCGATTTTTTAATTGCAGTTAAATAGGCACTCATTAAGAAATACATCAAAAATGTCTGAGAACATAACAACCTCAACATAAAAATTTGTTTCTGATGCACCCGTATCAATCATACACATCTACTTTTTATTGTTATTCATAGTGTCATAAAAATCATGTGTGAGCAGAGCGATTAAATTATTTTCACCAGGTCTTCTGACGCGAACTATTTGGAAAAATCAAAATAACTTGGAAATTGTAAATACTAGATCTTAAACAGTTCTCGTCAATTATACATTCAAACCTTGTAATCGACTCCATTATTAGTACACTGACCAATCACCATCTTCGCTGGCTTACTACGTGGCAGACGTGTCTGATCGACCGGAAGTTGGATGGCACCAGGCATAGTTTCAAGAATGTAGTCCAATTGATCATTTCTATACTCCTGTCCATACTCAATTACTTTCTGGTTGTGCACCGTCACCCATTCATTTTCATGCCCAGCAAATTCGCCTTTGTCGAGTGTGTTGTAAAAAAATATGAAATTAAACCCGATCTCGTCGTCAAATTCGAATTCAACGTCAGCAATTTTTCTGAAGGCATTCCTCCTGAAGCGTTCTGGCATTGAGGAAGGCCACCTGAAGTTGTTTCCTACACGAGCTATAAATAGGTTAAAGAAATATTTTAGCATTGAAGCGCCACTACACTACTTAAATACTGTATATAAAAGAAAACCATGACCCATTACCAAGAAACCTTTGCGCTTGACCAGGATTTTCCTCATACGCGAGGTGGGTTTGAAATGTTTCAGGCGAATTTTCTTGAGCTTTTTTAAAGGTGTCCATCACTTTAGATAAAATAAAAAGTCTATCGACGTTGATCGATGTTAGTATAAATGATTTTCACAGAATACATATTTTTTCTATTTATTCATACCCAACAAACGGGATCAAAATGGGCGAGAGTACAGTAATTAAACCAATTATAATAAGGTAAGCCATGAATACGAAGGTAAATGCTGGAGGAAACAAGAGAACAATAAAGCAAATCATTTTGCTGTTTTTTAGTGAGAGGCGCAGATAATATAAATCGATACTAAACTGACTGATTACGTATTTCGCATAAAATAATCTTGTTATACAGTAACATCCACTGAACTCAGCAGAAGATCAGATAACCAAGCAACAACAAATTATAAATGAGCAAACACAATCCAAACGATTACCCACAGATTTAGGCGACTCGTGACATTCAGATCGCTCGATATTGATACTAGCGAAACACTTATTATCTTTTATCTTCCGATACATACTTCACACTACACCGTATACATACAGGATGGGGCTTTCTCCTAATGCTTCTAAGATTCAGATTAAATATCAGATTTGTAATAAGCCAAATTCGGGTAAAATTTTATTAAAGTATAGCGCGTTTATATGACATTGCTAAAGGTAAAAAGTAAAAGTGCCTGACCGCCCGGTCAGTATGTCACGTGATATATGGCGCAGTATATCAAGAAGTGCTTTGTTTCTTTTTCGAAATATTAATAACGATGTAATCAACATTTGGCCAAGGTAATTTTGATAAAGTATTAGTCGTGGCAGATTTGACTTGTTGTATCTTATCTTTTCCAGCTTCGGCGAAAATAGCGAATATTTTTCTAGCCCTCTCCGTTCTCTTCCAAAGTGTGATCTCAGAAACTTTATCACCCAACTTTTCTTTAATATTATCATTATTTTAACTCGAACCTGTGCTGTATTATCTGGATTAGATTTTCTATAGAATTCATAACGCTTTGTTAACCATATTCCAAAAGCACAATAAAATCGCAATACTTCATGACTCGTTTTATAATTATTAGATTCGCGTTAGTGATATTTTGATATAGAGAATAAGCGTCTCAAGTTTTGTCATATCCATATGTGATGTGGGAGTATACGTTGCTAAGCTGGAAGTTTCCGAATCTTCAGGAGGGTCCGTTTCTACCCAAACTATCCAGGCAAAGCCATAATCCTTTTGAGATATAGTATAAATTTTCTCATGTTCACATTCTTTGTTTTCACACCCATGCTCGCAACAATTATATCCATCTAAATCGCTATTAAAATCCTTACGTGAAGGTAGTTGTTTCTCATTAAATTTCGTTTTGCTATTTAGCCATTGATATGGAAATATTGTAAGCAATGATAATAAATGAGGTGAGATGAGTTTCGACATAATTGGAAAAGTTTGTTCTGGCGTTTTAGGTTGGCCTTTCTTTTCATCACGTAAGTTTTCTGCCATCTTAGCTAAACCAGGTAACGAAATTTTAAACTAAATTGAAGCTGGCCAACTGAGAAGGTAATATATTGCTCAGGATTATTTGCTATAGGCACTATTTTTCATCCGTCACTTTTGCTATTTCTTGCATTAGATGATGAAAATCATAGTTACTCCCACCACAAAATAATACCGGAATTTTTATTGTTTCTGGATCGATTCGTAACTTGAGATTACAACTACTATGCATTGCTCCGCGAAACTTTCCTGTGATCTATTACTCTATTTTTTCCAGCAGAGTTTTTTTCCTATTTTCGGTCGCATGAAATGCGTCATCCTTGCGCCACTCGTACTATACATGTGGTCGAAAACCCCTTAAAGATATTGACCAATCCGAAAGTCCGAAATCTAGATTTGAAATTAATGCCAAATCCAAAATTCTTGCCAAAATTGAAAATTTGATCGAAATTATTTTTATATATTTTTATAGGCCCAAAATCAATATTAATTTATTAAAATTAAAATTTATAAAGTTTAATATAAATTTTCATCGTTATCAATTTCTATTGACATATTTCTAGCTAATACTTCAACATCAAAATCATTATGTTGTGGAATTAATACAACAGTTTGTCTTTTTTGATTAATTGTTATTTCATCTTCACTTTCTTTTTGTTCTAAATTAAAAATTCGTGATTCAATATCCACATCTCTTGTAATATCTAGATTATATATTTGTGATGTATCTATATTTGTACCAACATCATCTATATTATTAAAAAACTCAAAATCGGAATCTGTAATTTCTAATTCATCACTAATTGCTGTAATTGAATCTATAATTTGATTGCATAATATACTTTCAGAAGTATCAATCGCATAATAAGATAATTTGTGTTTAGCATTTGTGATATAAAAAGTATGTAATTTGCACATTCCCTCTATTCATTCTATAGTCAAATTTGCTCATTGTTGACCATAAAACCAATCCAAAATTGAAAAAGATCATTCACAAGAAGCACTATGTGGAGTTATAGCAAAAAATCAAAGTGTCAAAGCTTGTAATTCCATTCTTCTTTTGTACGTTGAGCGGTTTCCCACCAAATAGTTGGTGTATCTGACTTAAAATTATATGGTTGATCGAATGGTATTCTTCTATTTTTATATTTTCATATTTGAGTAAGTAATTTTCCACATGATTCTTGATCGTGTCCCATGTCTTTCCAAATCTGTGCAGCTTTTATACTAATTTCATAGAATTTTCCTAAATCGATACCATTACCTAAAATTAAATAAATAAATTTTGTTATTAAAATTAATAAATTTTATTTTATTTAATAATATTTATCTTACCATGATATCGAGGGTGTAAAAAAAAAGCCAAGAGATAAATATTATCAGAAAATTCATTCCAACGTTTGTTAAATTTATCTATACAATGATTTTTAAAAGATATATTTTGATTTGATAATCGATAAATTACACTTGCTAATGATACCAAGTGAATATAACAATCAGCAAGAGTTGAGGTTCTTGATTCCAAACATCCTATGAAAATTTTGAAAGAATAAAGAATAGATACAATAATTCGACAATCTTCATAAAAACTTCGATCATAAAGAATATTTTTAATTTGATCTTTAAGATCATTTTCATGTTC